CAACAAGTCTGTCAATTTCCTGCTCAACTGAGTCCTGGATAGCAATCGGTATTAATTTTCCTGCAAGGAAGTACTTTGGATGGAATACTGGGGCCAATTTTCAGAGTTGCTATGCCCAAGTCACCGAGAGGCTGTTCTAATCCAACTTTAGATATGAACTTCTCACTATTCACGGTTCACAAGTCCCATGTCTTGAATTGCATCTTTGCCAAGTAGACAGGTAAGATTGTTTTGCACTACTACCAATCTAAGTTTCTGGACGACGTCAGTCATTTTCGTCAGTTGCACTGTCCAATTGAAAACGTACGTTACAATCATTCACGTTTATTATCGCAGAGATGTCTTTGCTCCGCCTGTCTTTTCTTTTCAATGCTAGGAGCCAACTGTCTTCTAACTCTGGACTATCTTCACTGTCTGCACCAATAGCATGTATTTTCTTACATTTGGACTTGAAATGGTTTCTCCAGTTGCACTTGTCACATCTCTTGCCCCATGCCGGACAATTTGATTTGCCATGTTCATGTTTATAACCACAGAAATCACACTCTTTCTTCTCCTTGCTCGAAGGTTGTGCATCACTTTTTTGTTTGTGTGCCACTTTCTGCTTTGTGAAGTTTTTCTGACGTTTGTTTGTGGATAGTTTTTTCACTTTAATAGATGAAGTGATGTTACATACTGTAGATTGGCAAATAATCACGATGGTTTTATTTTCGCTATGTTCGCGATTCATAATTTTTCCGCAAAATTAAACCCACCGTGAATGCTAATAAAAGTTTTGAAAAACGTTTAAATGCTTATTCCAAATTTTGAATTAATTTCTTGCAGCGTGAAATTAAATCCATCGCAATTGGTACTCTTTGAGATATCGTGAAATTTTAACACCGTGGAATTAAAACAATTTACAGTATCTGAATTGCTCTGTTCAAAGTCAATTTGTCTTCTCGTAACAGTAGTTCTTGTAGCTAACCAGTAGCTGAAAATACAATCTTGTCATGCATCATCCTCTCCTGTTCAAGGAAATTACACGACGCTGCACGTGTTCTTAATTCTGTCATAAATTTGTCAAAGGGTACCTGATGAGATAACTTTCAGAATCTGTGAGACTCTAACACTTCGTTGGAACGAGGATTACAATAGGCCTGTAGCTTCTCATATATATTTTAGCAAGGTCATTCTTATGAGATTCGTCTTCCCACTGAAACTGGTCATATATCTCGACTACGTGAGGTCCACCACAACTCAAAATAATTGCTACCTGTACCTCTTTACTTTTGTTGATTCCTCCTGACGCAGACATGTAAACTTCAACTTGTCTTTTCCACTTTTTGTAGTTCTCGATTACATTTACAGAGGTAGAAATCAAGTTGAGGAGGTGATCTGAACGGACATTTGTACACCTGTACAGGTTCTGCAGCTTGGTCCTGATTATCAACTCCGAATAAAAATTTCAGAATCCAGTATGGCGGATATACAGAGCACGTGTTGAAAAATAAATTCAAAGTTTGTCACTATAAACGTACAATAATTCACGGAGCATCTCTTTCGGGGACGACCGGTAACACTAACAACAAATCTGCACCGCTGCCACCATATTGATATGCTTATCAGGGCTAATCATTGATGAAACATGATTCTTTAGATGAACACGTTTATTAAAAAATGGCGTCTAAACATAACAACAAAATTACGAGCATCCCAAGCCCGATCATATTACATCAACATACCCCAACTTGCGAGAATAAATATCTGGGTTATGTAGAAATATACCCTTATCACCTGCATAAGTTACAAGCATCTTTTCTGAATGCTAGCAGTGATACTTGCTTTACCATGCTACATGTATTTAATTTGCACACAAGAGGTGATTTTGTGATCAATTCATTTCAGCAGGCAATTTTGTCTTGTTTAGTGGGAACTTGATTTATTTATATCTAAAATGAATTTAAATGGACATAAATCATGGCCTTTGGAGGCCACTTCCACCTGCTGAAACTGGCAATGATCAAATATCTCAAAATCACTGAATATTTACTTCTTTAACCACACATGTATAGGCTTCTAATCTTTATCTTTCTGTCTTAAGACATTAAACAGGCCATGGCCCTTGGAAATCAACAAGCCATCCATCCCAACTAACAAATGCCCAAATTTCAGAAACAGTTATTAGCGAAACTGAAACGAATTACCCAAAACGAATTAGAAATACAATATACAGAAAAAAGTGCGGATGAAGGTCGATTATAGACAAAGTGTTGCCTTAATTTGATCTGTTATTTTTAAGTTTTTATGAATAACTTTCACGGACATAAAGATTTTAATGCGTCCGAATCGATAGATCCGGGTCGTATATTGTTTTTGTCCTGTATCTCTGTTTGTTTAGTTGTGTCACCCCGAACGAAGTCGGGGGCGACTTATTGCGTTTGTACGCATGTTTTTGTTCTACAGGCTGTTTCTTGGAGATGGCTGGGACAATCTCCAACTTTCATCAAAGGACGATCACTGGTTGTAGTTTTGTTGTGTGGTCATTCAGTTTCAAAATGGCTACCGTTGCCATAGAAACCTGCAAAAAGCGACGAAATTCTCTCTACTCCCTTGGACATCCGTCAAGAAACTGTATTGATTTTAATAACTGCATTTGAAAATTGCAAATTGTCAATAGTTGCCATGGAAACAGGGGGAAAATGAAAATTCTTTAACTTTGATTTTGAAATAAAAGTACCAAAAGAACTTATACGAGTTGATGTTTGTCCAAGCTTAGCTAATAGGTATTGTTTTAGTGATGAAAAAATTGAAAGTCTTGTCCAATTCGGGACGACATACGCTATTTCTTGCAATAGCAGACTTTTTAGTTCTCTTTCTGTTTGTCTGTCTGTTGTCAACTTGAATCATGAAAGATAGAGACTTTATTTTTGGTATGCCTAATCCACTAATTTAGTTCTTTCAATTGACATCAGGGTCAATGACCTTGCATTTGTGACCTTGTCTGTGACCTATATGCTAAAAGTTTATTTTTCGCTATAATTATTGAACAATAGGAGGTAAAGATTTCATATTTTGGCATGCATAGCCTACTGACTATATTAGTTATGTAGACAATTAGAGGGGTAATACGGAAATATGTGGGGTCCTTGAAAAAATCCATATTGGGCGAGGCGTAAGCCGAGCACAATATGCATTTTTTCAAGGACCCCACATATTTCCGTATTATCCCTCTAAGTGTCTACATAACGAACTTATCCTGCCGATGGTTCACTAAAAGATTAAATATTGATAGTATCAATAAACCGATTTCACTGAACGTCCAAGCAAGACGTTCTACATCCATTGTACTTTGTCGTCAGACGCATTGTGACGTCAGTTATGAAACTTCATGCGGGTCACGTGAAAGCAGTATATTGATGATGTGTGGTTGGTAAATTTTTAATATATGGTGGGTAGGTCACGTGGAGGGGGCACATTAGCAATGTGAAGTGGGTAAACAGCATAACATCGTTTCATGCCGTATTGCTCTCGGCCAATGAAATTTCACGATTTTTATCAGAGGCAGGATAAAGTAATTTCAAATGACACCAAAGTTAATGACCTTGTGACCTTGACTGTGATTGATATACTAAAAACAGTTTTTTGAACTTTGTTGCCGCCGGGCCCATAGTGTTGCACAAACACATCTTTTCGGATGAAAACTGGGTTTTCAGTTTCTAGAGGTCTTGTATAGCATCATGAAATTTTAAACATGTTACTGCAATTAATATGACAATAAAACCTGCATTTACTTAGGTAATTTCCTCCCTACCTTTGAAAATAGCTACAGTGTATGGTAATAAAACCAGAGTTTTATACTATATATAGCTATTATTTATAAAAATATACACAAATTTATATAAAGTGTATATCAAATTAATAATAACATGTCCATGTGTATCATTAATATAAAGTATCACAAGTTTGAAATTCGAGCATTTCTTGAAAGGTACATCCTTTTCAAAAGAAAGGTTTTTTGTTAAGTTTTTTTTTTATATTTTTGACTCTAAGTTAATCACATTGATGAGAACGTAAATTCTTAAATGAAACACATGGAGATAGCGAACAGCATTCAAGATCATAAGTCCATAAAACAATACAAAATAGGAGCAGAGCCAACACGGACTTCCAAAACATCAGAGGTGGGTTAAGGTGCCATGGAGGAGTGAGCATCCTCTGCCAACTGGTCACACCCGCCAAGTGCTTCTTTTCATCGTAAATTCCATCGTCAATTCAGTATATAAATAATAGACTAACAATTAGTATAAAAATGTCAGTATTTGACTCAATGATAAATAGTTTTTGCTGACAAAGTGATTGTATAGACCAAAGAACTTACAAAATGATGACTTTAAACGAGACTGCTGAAATTCTTGTTTCTTTTTGCAAACTTAGAAATCTTTAATGAAAAGGAATTCGTGGAACATGGTGTAAAAAATATCATTTATAGCCCCTAATGAGTCTCTTCCCTATGAAAATTCTGAAACCTGATTGAATATGTGCATGATTCCAGCAATAATATCCGAAACGATGACTTGGATACCAGATTAAATGTAAGAAAAGTTCCATGAATCGGGTTTTCATAAAATGACTTCTAAATAGATTGAATATGAAAATTCTAAACCTCCTTGCACATCTATAAAACATAATAATAAGATTATTTGGCTTATATATAAAATAGAAGAAAAGTTCTTGAAACAAGTTTATTCGTAGAAAAAACCCTTTAACGACCCTATCTAAAGTGGCCCCTAAGATAAAAATGAAAATAATAAAACCTAAAAATGTAAAAGCTACGCCAATCACAACAAATAAAGTGTTATGTCACACAGAGAAAAAGCCTGATCAATCAGTCTTGAACTTTCGAGCACATTTCTGCAAGAATCTGTTATTTTATTTCTTAGGCACATATGTCCTAACTGTTTGATGTGGTCCCTTTGTCGACTTAATTCGAATTTTACCATTTTTTGCATTTCATCTAGCTTCAACCACTGCACATCCCTATGTGACTTTTACATCCATCTCGGTATCTCCTTCCCCTGTGGTGGTTCCTGGGAACATTACAATCGGAGTGCGAGGAGCAATTCACCATCACTTTGGAAAAGACATCAGGATTGCAGTTCACATTGACAAATACCTTCTTGGAGTGTGGACAAGGATTCCCTGCAATAATAATAAAGGATCTTGGTATGATAGTTCACGTTTTTTTCACATATTCCTGCATGTATTATAAGTTTGCTGTTACTATGCTAGTATAACAGACGATAAAGATTAAATTGACCGTACATTTTAGCAAACTTAAGTTGTTCTTCTCCATTGTTCAGTTTTTACAAAACACACGTTGATTTGCATTTAGCAAGTAATGTTAAATTACCCTTGTTGGCTTTCGTGGAGTTCTCCGAATTATTTTGCCAATTTTTTCGTCGTATGTCTATATAGTCTGTAATACCAATACAGCAAAACTTGTTTAGTACGAACACGGATATTGTGAGTTTACGGATATAGCGAAATCATCTTGGAACCCCAGTTATATAATTTTATTGAATTTCTTATACGGTTATAACGAATTACGGATATATTGAAGTAATTTTATAGGTCAAAGTGACTTCGTTATAACCGAGTTTTGCTGTAGCTTTTGCGATGTCATTTTTTTGCTTTAAAAATGGCCATCGACACATGCCTTTAAAATGTATTATGTTATGTAGTGTAGCACATAATGTACTAGAAACTTGTTCCACAATGAATGCTTGCTTTGAATCATTAAAACATATTGCATTGAAACTATAAATTGGCATCCTAACTGTCCTGCGACATTGAATTGATTTGTTTGTTTTGTGTATACAATGCTATTGGGTATCGTAAAGCTTAAAATCTGTATTGTACTAAAGTGATTTTTTAGTGATTTATCATGAACTAATGTATCTATTTTCTTACTCTACTTTATTTATGGGACGAAACCAAATAACTGAGCTGTATATTTCAATTAATAGACCTTATTTTATATTTATAAAGAATTCGAAAAAATGACAAAAAACTTTTTGTACAACTGTGTGTCAATTATAAAAAAAACTATTATCAATGGCAAAATATTTTTACAAAACATGCAATAGAATTTGAAGAAAGGTTTAAAATATCTGAAAGGAAATACATGTAAAATATCTAAAGAAGGACAATAATAGATTGATTGATCGTATATTGTTTAACGTCCCTCTCGAGAATTTTTCATTCATATGGAGACGCCACCACTTGCCTGTGAAGAGTTGTAAATTTTTGTCCTTTACTCGGAACTCAGGACCACTGAGCAGGGAAAGTTATTTTTCGTGGCAGCATCTACTGCGACACGGGACCTCGGTATATACGGTCTCATCCGAAGCACCGGTCTCCATGTCCCACAGTGGGATTCGAACCTGCGACGTAAAGATCAACTCCTTACTTCGCGACTCTAGAGCAGACACTCTAACCACTTCGCCACGCAGCAATAAAAGAAAAACATTATTAAAATAATGAAAATGTTTTTTTAGTCTTTTTATCTTATTTTTTTCAATTAGGTATTATTTCATTGTTAACTACAGTATATGATTTCAATAAAGTCCCCATATATAAAATAATATGGCATCATATGTTGAACCTTAACAATCATTTTGTCGTGAATATTGTTGAACAGCTTTGATCAATTCTTTCCTTCACAATAAAATTCAAACTATCAAATCCATATAAGATTACCTTTTGTCATTGGAATATCATTTGAATTGTGATGGTTTATGAGTTTACTCTAGATCTTTTGTGACAAAACGCAAGTTAAGGCAAAAATTCATGTTAAGAAAAATTGTGAAAGCGGGCCCGGTTCATCTTATTGAAGATTAGAATTTCTTTACAAATAGATTATTTAAATAATTAAATTTTATTACTATTTTATCAATCATTTAAAGAATTCATCTTAATATCAGCACATTATTCTCAAAGTATATTGTTAATTTTTTTCAGTAAAAGCAGAGAATGTATTACCATATTCGATGATAAATATAAGTTTGTGCATTTGGGAAGAAGATAAGATTTCATAAATATCTACATTTTTTAGGATAATTAATAGATTAGTTTTCTTTTAAAATTTGTTTTATTGAAATAGTTTTTCATTTGAATTTCCTATTAGTGCAGTATGTTTGTTTGAATTGATTTCATCAAATTGTGAATTTATACAATATAATGTAATAATTGCATATTAGATTGAAAATTCATATATTTTTCCTAAAATGAGAAGATGAGAATTTATAAGAAGAAAAATTTCTACACATTTAATTTCTTATAAATAAATCCCTCTTATCTTTTCATGTCACTTTTTACACAAAAAAAATCATCAACTACATATTGACCAAAGAAATTATGAATACACAAAAGACATATGATAAACGTTTGTGACAAAACCAATTCAGTAATAAAATCCTTTTATCAATCATACGATATAATATACAGAGTCTGACACATCTGTTTCATACTGTTTAATTGAAAAAGACGTTAATGGTAATCTAACAACCAATCTCTATAATAAACGTAATGAATTTAACTTTTCTATCGTTTACTTCCCTTTCTTATGCAGCAATATACCTTCATCACCTGCATACGGCGTTTATATATCTCAGTTGATTCGATACGCAAGAGCATGCTCTACATATTAACAATTTCTAAAACGAGGTAAATTGTTGACAAACAAGTTGATGAAACAAGAATATCAGCAGTTTCGTTTAAAATCATCATTTCGTAAGTTCTTTAATCGATACGATGACCTTGTCAGCAAATACAATTTGTCATTGAGTCAGATGCTGACTGACGTTTTTCATGCTGATTGTTAGTCCCTTGTTTGTACACTGGATTGACGACGGATTTTTCCGTTGTTTCTTGATCATAACAAGGAGCTCACGGTGGGTATGACTGGTTGGCAGGGGATGCTCACTCCTCTATGGCACCTGATCTAACCTCTTATGTTTTGGTGGTCCGTGTTTGCTCTGCTCCTATTTTGTATTGTTTTATGATATTGAATACTGTTCGTTATCTCCATATCCTTCATACTTTGTTGACGAGTAAAGATAATATCAGCCTGCATTTACTGAATGACTGCATAAAAAAATAGTTTAGACAAATTAAACTTTAGTTGAGCCTCTATTTATATATAATATATCTTTACTTGTTAACAAACATTTATGCAAATAGTTAATTCACAGGAAAAAGTATAATAAACTAGAGCAAAGCTCGTTGCAAAGCAACGAGTAGGTCTTCCGTCCGGTTTTGACCGGAAGTGCCGGAAGTGACATCAACAAAAGAAAGCAATGTGCTAAATCGTCTCCAGTGACTTTATTATTTCAATTTTGCATCAAAACCTTCAAAATAAGCTATTTTTGGCTACTTCCGGTTTGACCGGAAGTGACGACGACGGACGGAAAATTAATCTTTGTGCTCCCAGAGACATTTGTTATCGAAAAACTTATCAAGAACGGCAAAAGTACGTGTGTTCCGAGTACTTCCGGCTTGGCTGGAAATGACGACGCCGGACGTAATTTGACGACTCCAGTAAATTAAGCTTGACATTTTGAACAACTTTGCTTCTTTGACGTATTACAAGTTCTCAATACGTTTTGAGATATAAAGAAAAAACTTTCGGCCCCTCTAGGTCCCTAATTTTAGGGGCCAGCCCCTTTTACAAGATATCATTGGAATGATCTTGGAATTCTACACTTCTTTTGTTCTATAAATTTTAACAAAATATTTCCAGGTAAAAAGATATCGTAGAAAAGGTGTTAAAAATTTTGAAATTCGCGATACGACTATTTTCGGGTCATAGCGAGCGCCGGCGTGCAGCACTTCCGAAAAAAAATGAAATACCTTATACATATCTATAGACTTCGGTCTATCATACCTGAAAGTTTCATGATTCTATCTTGAGCCATTTTTGAGAAAGTCTGGAGACAACCTGACCCTTCAAAAATCATAAAATGGACAATATCTCCAAACCGGAAGTGACGTCATCAAATCAGAAAAAAATGCATAAGGTTCAAGTTATGTTACATCAATCCTGAAAGTTTCATGGAAATCCATCGAGCCGTTTTTGAGAAATCGCGTGCATAAAATCGGTAAGAAAAAAAAAGAATAATAACTAGAGCATAGCTCTTCATAGGTCTTCTGTCCTGTTTGATCGGTAGTAGATTTCATTTTTAACAAAAATGAGAAATAACGCACCAAAATAGCTTGAATCCTCCACAGTTATGTTAATTAATGCAAAAATAAGCCATTTTTTGCTACATCCGGTTAGACCGGAAGTGACGACGACAGACAGAAAATTAATTTTTATGCTCCCAGAGACATTTGTTACCCAAAAACTTGTCAAGAACAGCAAAAATACGCGATTCGAAGTACTTCGGGTTTGGCCGGAAGTGACGTCGCCGGACGAATTTTGACGATGCCAATAGATTAAGCTTGACATTTTGAACAACTTTGCTTCTTTGACGTATTATAAATTTTATATAGATTTTGGGATATAAGGAAAAAACTTTTGGCCTCTCTAGGCCCCTTATTTTAGGGGCCAGCCCTTTTTTCGAGATACCATATGAAAGATCTTGAAATTCGACACTTCTTTTGTTCTATATATTTTAACAAAATATTTCCAGGTAAAATGATATCTTGGAAAAGGTGTTAAAAATTTTGAAATTCGTGATACGTCTAATTTCGGGCCATAGCGAGCGCCGACGTGCGGCACTTCCAATAAAAATGAAGTACGTTATACATATCTATAGACTCTGGTCTATCATACCTGAAAGTTTCATGTTTCTATCTTGAGCCATTATTGAGAAAGTCTGGAGACAACCTGACCCTTCAAAAATCATAAAATGGACAATATCTCCAAACCGGAAGTGACGTCATCAAATCGGAAAAAAATGCATAAGGTTCAAGTAATGTTACATAAGTCCTGAAAGTTTCATGGAAATCCATCGAGCCGTTTTTGAGAAATCGCGTGCACAAAATCGGTAAGAAAAAAAGAATAATAAAAGTGAAAAAGAAACCTTAGAATAACAAGAAGGTCTTCCGCTGAAGACGAATACCTTAATAATAAAAGTGAAAAAGAAACCTAAGAAGAACAAGAAGGTCTTCCGCTGAAGACGTAAGACCTTAATTATTGACACAGTTTTTTTTAATTTTGTCTTGTGTTATAGTAAATATCCAAACTTTATGCATTAAATTGGATGTAATAGATGACAAATATATAGCATAGGCGACCGAACCGGGGGGGGGGGGGTGAGGGGGGGGGGCTAGGGGAGGGCGGGTCGGGGGGGGGGGGGCTTAGCTCCTCCCACTTTTTCTTGCAAAGATGGACATGATATAAGCATTGAAAATTGGGGTTTACCTCTTTTTGTTGGGTAACCTCACCAACTTTCAATTAGCCACTCCACTTTCAATTTGCTTCCGACGCCTATGTATAGAGAAATATTCCGTTAAGAATATTCTGTAATGATAATTCACATTATTTACTAGCAACTACGACAACCCCTGTGAGTTTTTGTCTGCATATGCAACCTCAGGAACTTGTCCACCTCAACTTGAGGCACATGGCCTCCGCTGCACATGTCCTTTTAATCCATCCGATATCAATCTACCTCCGTCAATATTCGAGGTGAAAACAATAAATGCAGGTTACGAGTTTTTGATAGCGGTTAGTATTAGTCGCTTTCTTTTGCAAAATGCACATTTTTTGTTATGTAAAACACATCTCACAGATGGAAAATATTTCATTTTCAGGGAAAGTTCCGAGTGCAAGCTGAGTTGATTCACGATCATGATATAGTGGGATGCTTCCATGTCGAATTTGATATCAAAAGGCGTGGAGTTCATGGATTTATCTTTGGACAAAAATAAATACAAAGATCTGCAAAAGCTGGAAAATGTACGATTACAAAGAATTAAGGGAATACATTCTGTTTAAGAAAAAAAATTCAGCAGCAGTGTCCTCAATTTGTGGAAATTTTAATGTTATTTTTAAGAATTGTGAATTTGTTTGATGTGATGGGACCTTTTTACAATATACAGTTCCTCTAAAGTAACTCCATTACAGCTGTTAATATTTTGCTAAAGAATAAAGTTAGGAACTTGATAGAGGTTAATTTTTATTTAATCACAAAAGGGTCCAGTCTTGTATTACACCATATTTCAAGTAGTCCAGGCCTTGGATTTCTTACTAAGTGAAAGACCAAAAAAATCCAGCCTAAGAAAACATTTGACAAGCAAAAAAAAAGAAAAAAAGAGAATTTTTTCATTAAAATTATTCAAACACAAAAAAACTATTTCAAGGAGGGGGGAGGGATTTTCAGTACCAAATTTTTCCAAACCACTACCAATGTCCTTTTTTGGACATAAACTTCAATGTGCCTCTTAAAAGTGTATTTGCGTGGGGGGGGGGGGAGAGGCTAAACTTGCGTCCCAATGTTCAATGCCTATATTTTCTTTCAAAAAACCCGCTACATTCCCTAGATATGGAACATCTGAATCATAAGCCTCCAGCGTATTTATATTTTTTGTCACCCTACAACTATTGTTCGGAACTTTATTACTGGTGATGAAAATATAGCTATTAACTAGAAAAGAAACTCGTTGCGAGCAACGAGAGGTCTTCCGTCCGATTTTGAAAAAAAAAAAACACCTGCAAAATCGAGCTGAAAAAGTGATAAAACTTTCATGGAAACAAAGGGGATTGAACCCGGGTCGCCAGCATGAAAATCCAAAGCGTTTACTATTACGCTATTGGGACCACAGCTCTAAATGCGCCAAACGCCACTAGTAAATCTTCGCACCTTTTCTTTGGAATGTCCATTTAAATAGGTGTTATAGCCTCAATGGAAATAAAAAAAAGA